GAGACTGCAGAGAGCTGGCCACACCCCCATCCACATCACAGGAGCAGAGGTGGAGAGAGTCCGCTGCTTCAGATTTCTGGGCATTAACTTCAGCGAGGATCTGAGTTGGTCACACCATGTTGGTGTGAAAGCAGCAAGACCATTGAGAGTACTCTGACTGGCTGCATCACCACCTGGTACGACAGCTGTAATGCAAAGCCCTGCAGAGGGTGGAGAGATCAGTACAGCACATCACCAGGACTTAACTGCCAGTCACGCAGGATCTCTATAGATGGTGCTGTGTGAGGAAGACGCAACAGATCCTCTCTGATCCCTGGCCCCCTTATATTGATGGGTATGAGTTATATTACATAAATAGATCTAATAAGAAGGCAGGAGGGGTGGCACTTTTTGTTAACTGTAATCTGAAGTATAAACAACTTAAAGATATGTCTATGTTATTGACGACTTAATGGAGACTGTTACAGTAGAACTAGACATTTTTAAATACTTATTTGGCCTTGTATGGAAAACATTGTCCACTGGTACTGCTTAAATTTAAGAAGAAGAATTAAATTTAGAAATAAATTAGAAGACTAATTTTAAACCATGGATAACTAAGGGGCTAGTAAACGCGTGCAAAAAGAAGAACAAACTATACAGTGATTATATAAAACTCAGAACAAAGACCGCTGACATGAAATATAACGTCTATAAAAATAGGCTAGTATTAATATTGAGGAAGGCCAAGAAAGAATATTATAACAAACTATTTCAAGAAAAGAAAAATAATATAAAGGGTATTTGGAATATTTTCAGAGAGACATTAGGCAATAAGAACGTTTCCTTAGATTTACCCAATTATTTTTATAAGGAAGATAAGATTATAAAGGACATGAATGAAGTGGTAAATGAATTCAATTCCTTTTTTGTAAATATTGGCCCTAATTTGGCGAATCTAATTAGAAAACATGATAAGTTAGAAGAAAAGGATGATTGGAAAGGTGGAAGCAGAGCAGTTAAGTCTATATTTTTAGCTGATATCACTGAAAAAGAAATTGCAGCAATTCTAAAAAAGACTAAAAATAAGAAATACTGATTGCCATGGTTTAGATATGGTTATAGTTAAAAAGACATCGGACTGTATAATTACTCCTCTTTGTTATCTTTTCAATCTTTCATTCCATGCTGGTATTTCCTGACAGAATGAAAGTGGCAAAAGTGATACCTCTGTATAAAAAGGGAGATAAACATAGTTTTAATAACTATAGGCCAGTGTCACTTCTGTCACCGTTTTATAAAGTACTTGAAAAACTTTTTGTGGAAAGACTTGATAGCTTTATTGAAAAACATCAATTACTAAGTGAAAATCAATATGGATTTAGGAAAAATAGATCAACGGCATTAGCATTGATGACTACTATTGACGACATTTCATGTGCAACAGATAATAATAAATATACAATAGGGGTATTTATTGACTTAAAAAAAGCTTTTGATACGCTGCAACATTCTGTTTTGATTTCTAAGCTTAATACTTATGGGGTGAGAGGAATTGCATTAAACTGGTTAAGTAGTTATCTAGAAAATAGGACCCAGTATGTGCATTATTCAGACAATTCCTCTGAAAGACTGAAAATTGAATGTGGGGTTTCTCAAGGGTCTGTTTTGGGACCAAAACTTTTTAATTTATATATAAATGATATTTGTGATGTGTCCAAAATGTTAAATTTCGTTTTGTTTGCAGATGATACAAATTTTTATGTGCTGGGGATAAATTGAAAGAATTGGCTGAATTAATGGTTTCTGAAATGGAAAAAAAAATGGTTTGAG